GTAATTTATATTTGATTTAATAATATAATTTTCTTATAAAGATAATAATTAATTATTTTGTTATAAATTAATAATTATTTTAATTATATTTTATATTTTTTATATTTTAAAATGAAATGTTTATCCCACTATTGATTATGTTTATTCACAGTTAGTTACATGAATTCAAATACGAAGTTTTAATAAGTTGTACTTATATATAATTTATTTGTAATATTAAATTTTAAATAATATACATCAATATACAATATTTTATATATAAAAAACGATATTTAACCGTTTTTGTCAAATATTTTATAATATATTTTGGATTATGTAAGCAAATAAAATCCAAACAAGACCCTCTTACCGCCTCTAAATTCATCGTTCCAACTCTTTCAATCGTAAAACAAAATCGATTCTTGTTGCTGGTATCAATCGATCACAGGTGCTGTTATCGCTCTCATTTACACTGCTGCTGATTTTAACATCTCAGGTACTTCAATCAAACCCTAACATTTGTTTTTTGTTCTTGAATTGCTTTACTATTCTTAACCTCGAATTAAACTTGAGCATCCCAAGTTTCAAGTGTAAAGTTAACCGAAATCCTTTGATGAATCTTGATTCCTGATGCTAGTGGTGGAGGTGGGAATGTCAAGTGCTACGAACTATATTTCCTTAATTCACTCGTATAACCACTGTATGGCATAACATCCATGCTCATTTAATTGGGAATGGATGAACCGATGATCAATGCCTACATCCCATATTGATTTTCAGCAGAAACCAGGCCTTTATAATTTTTTAATTCTACCATATTTCTAAATCTTCATCCACTTGGTAAATTAAATGTATTGATTGACCCAATTAGCTTCTCCCTCAAAGGTTTTCAGTGGATGAGGATTAGTTTAGGATCAATAGGGACCATAAGTCATGTGGCCATAGTTAATACTGGACTGAAACACAAACTAACTCTACAGTAGTAAAGCAATTTAGGCATCAACACACACTAGAAAGAGAGTGGAGTAATTGACAATTTGATAGTGAGTCCAGTTGGTCATGGTTGGGCTTGCTTACAAACTCAGCCACCATAGATTGGTCTTGAAATCTCCAAGTATATCCTGTGGTTAACCTTGAAGAAGTTGATATCCTTACCCTTTAATGACCGGAGCGTCCAAGTCATGAAAATAGCCTCTTTGCTATAATGCAAGTGAAGCCTGTACACAAGTCGTCCATAGTAAAGTCTGGGGAGTGGTGCTTGGTGGTCATCAGTTTTTAGTAGTAATGTATTAGTTTAGAGTAGATTATAAATTCTTAAGTCGTAAGTAGATGGACAAACTTTTTTTCCTTAAACAGTAAGCTATGATAATGGCTTAGAGTAACACAAGAATCACCAGTTAACTAAAATAGATAATAGACAAATTGAAATTTCTGAATCAAATAAGGCTTCATGTAATAATGTTGCTGGCTAAAATTAAAGGTAACATGAACTGTTACTGTTATATTTATACCTCCTCGCCTTGTATGTGAGTTTGTATGTCTCTTTGTTGGATTGTCACAAATTGATTGGTCTGCTTCCATTTTCAAATTGGAGTTGGTCTTAATCTTCCATTTTCAAATTGGAGTTGCTCTTAATCTTCCATTTTCAAATTGGAGTTGCTCTTAATCTTCTTGTTAAAAGCAGTACCCGATGCTTATAAAGCCTAGGTACAAAAAGCACCACCCCTATGCAAATTAAAAGTGATACATACGATATCTTACTACTTTCGTTTCAAATGAGTTATTTCTGGGATTAAGAACGGGCAGAGTTACTCATATTTAATGGAAGCTGTCTCTTTGCAAAAAAGCAAGGGAAGCTTGACTAGGTTCCAAACCCCTTAAAAATTTGTGCCTTCTTGAGTTCTTGGTTCATTGGAGCAGGGGCATCTTTTTGGCTCTCTGCCCAGGGCATTCAAAACTATTGGACCGGCCCTGCTCAAATTAAGTGGAACTTGAATACTTTTAACCAAGAAGAATAAATTGAGGACTTCTATGAATAATTTGACCTTAACTCTTTCTCAGGATGTCACCACCTGCCCTTTTTAAGCTGATAGGAGAACTTCACTTACTAAATTTCTTCAGTTGAAGTAGCTCTTCAGCTATACATCCTTCTTGCATTTATGCCGGAGACGTCGCCAATGCTATGGGCTTTGGCTTATGTAGATCAAAAATGATAAATTATGGCATGCATCTCTGAGTAGAGTGGCATGGCGAAGATAGGCGCATAGTGTGATCTACAAGAGTGGTAGAGGTCCCATTATTACATAAGATTTAGTATTGCTGGACACCTAACAGAATCGGAGTAAAGGTAAGATTTCATTCCTACAATCATTCATCATTCAATTCCGCTCATGATCAATACATTCTTGCAGTTATTTTGATGCATAATGACAAACACTCATTTTGCTCAGAAACTCAACCAAGGAGAGACTTTTTTCTTCTCAATAGCACGGCCGATCACTTGGCTAAGGGGCTGTTTACTAACTACTGACTGGGCTGACTCGGTCAGCATATTTGACTCGGTCAACAGTCAGAGTGTTTACCAAATCATAGATCTGACCGAACTGCTGACCGATATCTTAACCGGCCCACGTCGATTTCCTGCTTACCCGAGTCAGATTTACCCTTCCCATACTTGCCCCCTTTTCACGATTTTCATCAGTTGCTCCATCATAGCTCCATATCGCTCCCTCATCGCTCATCCTCCTCCCTCGCCGGTCCGGCTCTCCCCGCTACCACTCGGTCGGTCCTCATCCCTCATCGCTCATCCTCCCTTGGCTGCTCGAAAAGGTACTTTCTGCTCCTACTTGATTGATTGATTTCATTTTTGCTCATAGTTGTAGATTTTTGCTTCTTATCTTATTTCCGTTCAGTGTCGATTCAAGAATCATGTGTTGGTTTTTTTGATTTCCCTGAATACATGCGAACACATTTTCAGTCACTGACTCAAATAATTACCTAGAAGGGTCTATAGAGGAGGAACTGTGCGTGATCTTGATGGTGTAGTTCATGAACTTGATGGTTTAGTTGATGATTAGGTATTGCCTGAACCCAGCTGACTTGACTAAAATCTAGGAAAAACAAGAGCCTTGATTCCAGTATTGCAGAGTGTTGTTGCATAACATCACTGTCCTTGTAATTGGACCAAGATTTTTATCTCAAGGTAGCGATTGTCTGCTACAATTTTTCTCTCTGGATTTTCCCTTTTGTAGGTAGGTACTCCAACTCTCAATATGAAGCCAAAGCATGCTTCAACTTGTTTGTTTTTATTACTTTTTATAATATTGCTTCTTTCATGATATCAATTTCACCACCCTTTTTGGATTCTTTTGATTTTTGTTTTCTGTTTTTATTACTTTTTTACAATTGATGATCGATTTCCTGGTGCTTTTGGAGGATTCTTTGGTTATCATGTCATCTATTGTAGCAAGAAGCGGTCGTCATCTTCAGCGTTGCAACAGCAACCTTTGCCCATTGATTTAGGAATTCAGATAGATGTTGTCGACCAATCTCTTTGGATTTCAAAACTTGCTAATAGAAATTCATCACGGTTAATATGGGAGATCCAAGATATACGTGGTTGCAATTCTATATTCCTGCCCCATAATCAATAAAGATAAAAGGGAAAAAGAAGCCACAAGTACCCGTGTTGGTATATAAGCACTCAAACTGTCCATTGTTAGTTTGACACTGGCCTTCATTTTTGCAACACTCTTGGCATGAAGATGACAAATTAAAGGGAATTAGAGAATTCATGGGCGAGAAGAGAAAATATGTTGGTTTCATTGCCGTCTGCACATTGCTTCTTCACTGGCAACCGTATTACTTCACATGTAGGTGGGAGATCACTTGGAACTGTTGAATTGCTCATGAGATGATGATTATAGTAGAACTTGTGATCTTTGCAACTGTTGTGGCTATTATAATCATGTTGGATGAAATAGGCATCTATTTGTTCAGCATACTTGGGATCCTTTGTGCATTTGGAGAGAGTCATAAATGGCCATATTGAAATGGAAAATAAAAGAGGAGTTGGGGAAGTGAAATTATAGTAAACTTGTAAAAGGTTACTTCTCCAAAGACTTGGACTCATGTGTGTGTATATAATAATTGACATGGTTGGTACAAACAACGTTCAGATTTGGTACCAAATTTAACACTCTGGGGTTTTTATGACTATAGGAATAGGATGATACTGGTGCAGAATAGACAATGGGGCTACAGATGAAATGAAGCTATGATATCCACACATGCATCTGTTGAATGTTTTGTTTCTTCAAGAAATCGTCAAAACCCTCCTATCTACTTCCAATATCTTTTCACAAGTTCATTGATTTCCATTGCTTTAATCTTGCTGCTCTTTTCACCTTCTGTTGCAGTAGACAGCATAGCTGCTAATCAATTCATCAAAGATGGTGAAACCATATGTTGAGAATATATGCTAAAACTCACCTTAACATGTTGGTTGCCTCTGGCTGACCCACCATGGCTAGGCAACCCCATATGAAAAGAACATGGTGGGCATTTGAAAAAGAAGTATGAAGCMCTAGGGAAATGATTAGCACCACAAATGAACCATACACAATCATGTTTTTCTTATACCAAAAAATGCAGAGAAATAGAAGGTGAAATTAAAGAGGAGTTGGTGAGCAGATGCAAAAAGAGTGGACGGATAATAATTTGGGTGGTTATAATAAGTGAATGCAAATGCAAATGCAAATGCAAATGCATTCATTTATATTATTATAATTTGGGTGAACCACACACTTTGTTGGGTGGACTGTTGAATGCTACATGCGGTAATGCAACAGAGTTAATCATAGTAATATTTGCATTAATGGAAAACAAAGTGGATGTGGTTAAATACTCTCTCTTGGGTTCCATTCTCTCCAATCTTCTCTTGGTGCTTGGTACTTCTCTGCTTTGTGGTGGAATAGCCAATGTCTCTTTTGAACAAAAGTTTGATAGGGTACGTACTAATTATACATATATATATATATATATATATTGCAATTTCTTTTGGTATTAACGTTTCATGTCCCGTTTGTATTTAAGTGTGAACGACTATTAATATGTTTTTCTATTTAATTTGAAGTATGAAAATTGTATTTTGTTCTCTTATTTGACAGTTAATCATATAAAAAGAAGTAAAATAGTATTATTTTTATTGGTAAACATTTATTTAAAGTATGCATTTTGTTTTTTTATTCCATTAAACTATTACTAACAAAAATAATTATATATTATTCAACATATAATTACAAATAAGATTATAATAGTCATTTTATTGTTGGTAAGCACTTATCAAAAATATTTGGTAAACACTCTTACTTGGACAGCACTTACCGGGTCAGCACTCTTACCCGGACAACACTTACCCGGTAAGAGTTGGTAAGCAGCCTCTAAGTGAAATACATTTTCTTTTCTTGGATAAGTTTTTTATTTAGGGTCGTTTACCAAACACTTACTCAGTAAGCGCTTACCGTTAAAATTAACATTATCATTTACTTATCGGGTAAGATTTTACTCAACAAAAACAACATCGTATGCAATAATTTACCCGATAAACGCTAACGATGGTAAGAGTCGTCGCCATCACTTACCGGGTAAGACTCTCGGTCTTTGCATCGTTTTTACCAGGTAAGATTCTTAGTCCTTGTCATATTCATCCGGTAAGGTAATGTGAGTTGGTAAGTATTTACCCGAGTAAGTGTTGGTAAACAGCCCCTTAGATTATAATTTCTATTAATTCAGAGTCATCAAGTTGGTCATGTTTACAAAAGGGTTAAAACGATAAGTTTTTTGTAATTTTTAACGCTTGTAAACGAACATTTTTCATGCAGAACCTGATCTAGACAACAACACTCATTCATTCGGATCTGTCAAATGGCCTGAAATCTACCATGAATGCCATGACCACTATTCCACAACCCATCGTTTCCTCAGTCATCCACCAAAACCAGTCCCACTACAACCACCTTTTAACCTCCCTCTCCGCCTCTTCCTCCCTCTTGCACCTTAAGCAAATTCACACCCAAATCCTCCGCTCTGGCCTTGACCGCTCCAATTCCCTCCTTATCAAACTCGTTCTTTCCGCTTGCACCCTATCATCCCCATCCTTGGACTATGCTCTATTGGTCTTTTACCAAATGCACAACCCAGAACCCCATCTCTCAAACAAATTATTGCGTGAACTTTCTCGAAGCAGCAAACCAGAAAAGGCCCTTTTGGCATACGCCAAGATGAGGGAACAAGGACTTGTTATTGACAGTTTTAGCTTCCCACCACTTCTGAAGGCGTCCACAAGAGTTTCGAGATTAATTGAAGGGATGGAACTTCACGGGTTCGCTTCGAAAATGGATTTTGTGTCGGACCCGTTTGTGCAGACCGGTTTGGTTGCAATGTATGCAGCCTGTGGACATATCGAAGATGCACGACTGGTGTTTGATAAAATGTCTCACAGAGATGTTGTTGCATGGAATATTATGATTGATGGGTATGATGTTTTTGCATTCATGTTGTCTTCTTTTTTATGGTCGGAGTGAATTGCTGATTTCTCACACTCGTTTGAACTTCTAACTTGTGAACAGCTATTGCGGGAATGGGCGATTTAACAATGTGCTGCCCTTGATTGAAGAGATGAAAAGGTCAAACATAAAACCAGATGAGAAGATCTTTTCTACTGTTCTTTCTGCTTGTGGCCGTGCTAGAAATTTAGAACTCGGGAAGGCCATTCACGAGCTCATTGCTGAAAACGAAGTTGTAGTCGATCATAACTTGCAGTGTGCACTCATCATCATGTATGCAGGTTGTGGCTCCATGGACATGGCAAGGAGTTTGTACAAAGAGTTGTCCCCGAAGAACATAGTTGTTTCTACTGCCATGATTACAGGGTACTCAAATGTGGGGAAGGTTGAATCTGGATTCTTGATCTTTGATCAAATGGCCGAAAAGGACTTAGTTTGTTGGAGTGCAATGATTTCTGGATATGCAGAGGGAGGTCAGCCTCAGGATGCTCTTCAGTTGTTCCATAAAATGCTAAGTTTTGGAGTAAAACCTGACCAGGTCACTATGCTAAGTGTTGTTTCCGCTTGTGCTAATTTAGGCGCTCTTGATCACGCAATCCAAATCCAATCGTACATTGATGAAAATGGGTTCTGTGGAGCCTTGCCAGTGAACAATGCACTTATTGACATGTATGCAAAATGTGGGGATCTCAAAAGGGCCAGAGGAGTTTTTGCTAGAATGCATAGGCGAAATGTCATCACCTGGAGCAGCATGATCGGGGCTTATGCTGTTCATGGAGACGCCGTTAAAGCCCTCGAGCTCTTTCATGAAATGAAAACCCAAAAAATCAAGCCAAATGGTGTAACTTTCGTGGGTTTGCTATATGCTTGTAGCCACGCAGGATTGGTTGAAGAGGGTCAGAAACTCTTTGCATCAATGGTTAACGATCACAACATAGTCCCCAAAAGAGAGCATTATGGTTGCATGGTAGATCTCTATGGCCGAGCCAATTTACTTAGAAAAGCTCTTCAAGTAATCGAAGAGATGCCCATGGCACCAAACGTTGTGATATGGGGATCCCTGATGGCTGCTTGTCGAATCTACAATGAGGTTGAACTAGGCGAGTTTGCAGCAAAGCGTGTTCTTGAGCTCGACCCATATCACGATGGGGCGCACATCCTCCTGTCGAACATATACGCCAAAGAACGAAGATGGGAAAACGTGGGGGAAATGAGGAGATTGATGCAGCATAAAGGCGTGGTGAAGCAACGTGGATGTAGTAGAATCGAGCTCGATGGTGAGATACATGAGTTCTTAACGGCGGATAGAAATCACAATGAAACCGATGACATATATGCAAAGTTGGATGAGGTCGTAAGTGAGTTGGAGGTGGCGGGTTACACTCCAAATATGTGCTGCGTTTTGGTTGATTTGGATGAAGAAGAGAAGATGAAGGCTCTATTATGGCATAGTGAGAAGTTGGCACTTTGCTACGGGTTACTGAGACGGAAAAGAGGATCCTGCATTCGTATAATCAAGAATCTTCGAGTTTGTGAAGACTGCCATAACTTCATGAAGCTGGCATCGAAGGTTTACGAGACTCGGATCATTGTACGGGATCGGACCAGGTTTCACGATTACAACGATGGTGCTTGTTCTTGCAAAGACTATTGGTGATAAAAAAAATCTTTGCTGACATAGCTTCCTTGGAAATCTTGGTGCCATTGAAGAATCTGTCATCATGGAATGAGTGGTCATGATTGGACCAACGCTTATCGATAAAAGTCACAACCCTCACTTACCTTTCCGCGTGAGATTCTTGGCCACCAAAATGGCATAATAAACATCTTTTACCCGGTAAACACTAATCGGGTAAGAGTCACCAGCCTCACTTACCGGGTAGGATTTGCGGTCCTTTCCACATATGCCTCTTATTGAGTAAGATTCTCGGTTCTTGTCATGCTCAGCTTGTAAGTTAGGTTTAGTAAACGGCTCCTCAGTATACTATATGCTATGCTGTTAATTGTGGGGCTATTGCAACAGACTAAGGTAAACTTGCAGTGGTCAAATTGTGGTGAAAATTGCGTTTCCAATATTAGCGGTGCAATGACCGATATTTACGGACTGATATTCCGATATTTTAGCTTAGGCCTCTTTAGAACTATGTTGTTATTTTTTATTTTTGAGTTTTTGACTTGGGCTTCTAATTAGATTTGGGCCCTTACCAACATGCGGTTTATAAACTTACATTAAAAGGTTAGGTTTTCAATTTATTTCCAATTTATCGTATCCTTCCTTACTGAGTTCGACGACAACAACAGTCAATCAAGAAAAGTTCGACCTTCTTCTCATGTTCTCCACTGAGTCGACGATAGCTTCTGCTCCACTCCACCACCTTCTTCATCGTCGATCGTCAACAACTTCTGCTCCACTCCACCTCCTTCTTCATCGTCGATCCACAAGTCCTCAACAAAGTTGATGTTTTGATGTTGAAACTATATTTTTACTTCATGCATATGATATGTTTATGTATGCATATATATATAATATAAATAGGCCCAACGTGTGTACACCTTTTTAATTTGATTTATTGTAAATTTTCTAAAGACGCTGCATGAGATTGTATTGTACGTATAAACTTAAGAGTTTGTCGAGCCACGAGCCTTGGCCCAAGCCTACCATTTTTCCTAAGCTTTAACTGAGGGAAGAAGTTCGAGGCTGAATATGTCATTTTCAATCATTTTACATTTCTATTTTCACAAACTAAATACAAAAACAAAGCAAATAACTCACATACAACAGACTATAAGAAGTTGTGTTTTTTCCTTTCCGTTAAGCTTTACATGAACACTAGGATACCAAAAGTGTTTAACTGTCCTAATGGAGTAATTTATATGACTTAAGTTTATAGGATCAAAGAATAAAGTGTTCTATCTAAAAGTGTTTGCAATAAGATTATAAGATGTTTTTTGACATCATAAACAATGTTTTAGGATTTAAAAAAAAAATAAAGTGTTATATTAACTATTTTACAAGTCACTTTTGAGAAATGTCCTCTAAACTCATCTTTTTAGATGACACTTTTGTGTACGGGACATTTTTTCAATTGTTCTATAAAATAGTTAATATGACGGTTTATATTAAAAAGGTTATAAAGACTTTTTACGACGTTCAAAATGTCAACTTATTGTAACACTTTTAATTTAGACGAGACATCTTATTTTTTGGTCTTATAAAATTAAGTCCTATCAAGACACTTAAATACTTTAAGCGTTCTATAAACTCAATTATGTTGTAGTAGAATTACATCGTCACTTTGTGAGGAAAATTGCATAAAAATAAAACCAACTTTCACCTGATTCCTATTTTGGAGAACCAACTTTCAAAATTGTCATTTAGGGGTCTCTATCAAACTTTTTGTTTATTTAAGGGTTTGGTTGACATGTTGACCTGTTAATGGTGACATCATCTAGATCTTTTGCCAACTAAGATATTCCACGTCATATTAATTTTTTATTTTAAAACTAATATTCCACGTCATATTTAAAATTGCAAAATAATTATAGAAAAATAACTAAAATTCGTTTTTTTAATTATTGTAATAAAATCTATTTTTCATTCCAAATATTTTTTTAAAAAAAAATTCAGATATCAAATTGTGAGTAAAGAAGTCCATTTTTGAAAAAAATCTTCAATTTGATATCTAATTTTTTTTTAAAACGAGTTTTGGAATGAAAAATAGATTTTATTACAATAATTTTTGAAAAAAAACGAATTATAGTTATTTTCTATAATTATTTTGCAATTTTAAATATGACGTGAAATATTAGTTTTAAAATAAAAAATGATCATGACGTGAAATATCTTAGTTGACAAAAAATCTTAATGATGTCAGCATTAACAGATTAACATGTCAACCAGATCCTTAAATAAATAAAAAGTTTGATAGAGACCCCTAAATGACAATTTTAAAAGTTGGTTCCCTAAAATAAGAATCAGGTGAAAGTTGGTTCCATTTTGGTGCAATTTTCCCTCACTTTGTGTGGATTAAACTGTTTATATGATTTAAGATAATTTACTCTTCGTTTTGTGTGTTGAATAAACGACCTGAATGATAAAAGAAACCCATTTTACCATAAGAACAAGAAATAAAGAACAACGAACATCAAGAAGAAATAAAGGTTATTAAAAGAATAACGAACGAATTGAATCCAACAATAATCATTAAACTTATATTTGTGATTGAGGAGCATAATATGATTTGTGACGAAAAGGGATGTGCAGCGATGGAGGAGAGTGCAACGGAGTCATAGACGACGAGGAGTGAAGAGAGCCTTCGATGCAATCAACGACATTGATGAGCAGAGAAGAAAAGAAGCGTGGATGAGCAAAATGGGTGATTTGTTTTTACCTGGGGTAATGTAGGTAGGGGTGAGCAAACCCAGTCGGAATTCATGGAACAAGTCTGTAACTGGAACCGACGGTTTTTGGAATACGAGAATTGGAATCGGTTACACCAGTTCTTTATATTTGGAACCAGTCCCGTAACCGATTCCAGTACTGAGTACCCAGTGTCTATTTTTTTTTTTAAAGTTTTATCATTTTATGCTATAAAAAAATAATTAGTAGCCTATTACAAAGTACCAACGTAAAAAAATAAATACTACAAATGGTGAAAGCTAATCCGATAAAAACTAATAATTACATAAATAATTTGATAGAAACTCTTGAATATAAAATAACTTTTATTAAAAAAATAACGGGTACCTGTTGGTTCCAGTTTATGGTACCCAGTCCCGGAAGCAGTCCTGACGGGTACCAACGGTTAACAGTTACAAAAAAATGAGAACTAAAACCAGTTTCGACCGATTTCGTATTTTAAGAACCAGAACCAAAACCAATCACATCGGTTTTGGTTCTGAAACAGACAGCTGAAAAAAAGAAGACATAAACAAACAAAATGTGCATCACATGTATTCATTATTTGGGTAGCAAGCAAATGATAAAGAAATGCTAAAAGATACTAAAGGAAATAAACGTATTTTTCAAGTCATCTTTTAATCCAAACGTACAATTTTACCAGAGTGGTTTTGTAGCATGTTAAATGTGAGATTTTGAACAGTCCTTAAAATTTTAAGACCCAATTTTACATGTGCTTCCTTGAAGAGTTTTTTTAGCATGTTAAATGTGATAATTTTTTTTTGCTGACACAGCTTCCTTGGAAATCTTGGTGCCATTGAAGAATCTGTCATCTTGGAATGAGTGATCATGATTGGACCAACGCTTACCGATAAAAGCCACAACCCTCACTTACCTTCGCACGTGAGATTCTGGGCCACCAAAATGGCATAATAAACATCTTTTACCCGGTAAACACTAACCGGATAAGAGTCACCAGCCTCACTTACTGGGTAAGATTCGCGGTCCTTGCCACATATTCCTCTTATTGAGTAAGATTTTTAGTTCTTGTCATGCTCACCTTGTAAGTTAGGTTTAGTAAACGGCCCCTTAGTATACTATATGCTATGTTGTTAATTGTGGGGCTATTGCAACGGACGAAGGTGAACTTGCAGTGGTCAAATTGTGGTGAAAATTGCGTTTCCGATATTAGCGGCACAATGACCGATATTTACGGACTGATAATCCAATATTTTAGCTTAGGGCTCTTTAGAACTATGTTGTTATTTTTTATTTTTGAGTTTTTGACTTGGGCTTCTAATTAGATTTGGGCCCTTATCAACATATGGTTTATAAACTTAAATTAAAAGGTTAGGTTTTCAATTTATTTCCAATATCGTATCCTTCCTTATTTCTGCTCCACTCCACCGAGTCGACCATAGCTTCTGCTCCACTCCACCACCTTCATCATCGTCGGTCCTCAACAGCTTCTGCTCCACTCCACCTTCTTCATCGTCGATCCACAAGTCCTCAACAGCTTCTTGTTTAAGTTGATGTTTTGATGTTGAAACTATATTTTTACTTCATGCATATGATATGTTTATGTATGCATATATATATATATATATATATATATATATATATAGACCCAACGTGTACACGTTTTTAATTTGATTTATTGTAAATTTTTTAAAGACGCTGCATGAGATTGTATTGTACGTATAAACTTGAGAGTTTGTCGAGCCACGAGCCGTGGGCCAAGCCTACCATTTTTCCTAAGCTTTAACCGAGGAAAAAAGTTTGAGGCTGAATATGTCATTTTCAATCATTTTACATTTCTATTTTCACAAACTAAATACAAAAACAAAGCAAATAACTCACATACAACAGACTACAAGACGTGTTTTTTTTTTCCTTTCCATTAAGCTTTACATGAACACTAGGACGCCTAAAGTGTTTAACTATCCTAATGGAGTAATGTATATGACTTAAGTTTATAAGATCAAAGAATAAAGTGTTTTATCTAAAAGTGTTTGCAATAAGATTATAAGATGCTTTTTGACATCATAAACAGTGTTTTAGGACTTTTTTTTTATAAATAAAATGTCATATTAACTATTTTGTAGATCACTTTTGAGAAATGTCCTCTAAACTCATCTTTTTAGATGACACTTTTGTGTACAAGACATTTTTTCAACTGTTCTATAAAATAGTTAATATGACAGTTTATATTAAAAAGGTAATAAAGAATTTTTTACGACATTCAAAATGTCAACTTATTGTAACACTTTTAATTTAGACGAGACATCTTATTTTTTGGTCTTATAAAATTAAGTCATATCAAGACACTTAAATACTTTAAGCGTTCTATAAACTCAATTATGTTGTAGTAGAATTACATCGTCACTTTGTGTGGATTAAGCTGTTTATATGATTTAAGATAATTTGTTGTTCGTTATGTGTGTTGAATAAACGACCTGAATGATAAAAAAAACCATTTTACCAAAAGAACAAGAAATAAAGAACAACGCACATTAAGAAGAAATAAAGGTTATTAAAAGAACAACAAACGAATTGAATCCAACAATAATCATTAAAGTTAGATTTTTTTCCTGGGGTAATGTAGATTTGTAAAGAAATAAATACTACAAACGGTGAAAGCTAATCTGATAAGAACTAAAAACTCATAAATACATAAATAATTTCATAGAAACTCTTGAGAGTAGCGTTAAATGTAACCCTAAAAGATAAATTAA